ATCACCTAAACAGCGAACTGGGAGTGGTATATAGCAATGTATCACACCCTGCCCAAACCTGACAGAAGGCAGGACACACACAGATCCAAAGGACAGGCACATTAACACCTATCAGGACTGCCTGCAAACATCAGCAATGTCTGGTATCTGTTGCCTCTGTAACCTGTTTTGTTTTTGTAGGGTTCTGCTACTTTTGTTGTTTTTCCTCCCTCCAATAAACCATGTATGGTGGGAGCTGGGCCTGATCCATGACTGAGTGCTGTGGTCTTGAGAGGAGAGATGATGTACTGATGCTGAGTGACTGAGGGGGATGCTGAACTTGGAAAAGACTGAACGTGTCATTGCCCAGAGGTGTGGCTGGGGCTTCCTTGGGGTCAGCCATGCCACTACCAGCTGGAGGTGAAGCAGAAATGTGCCCAGGCAGGACTTCTTCTGATAGCGGCTGTAGGAAAGGGTGGCTTGGACCTGGGTCAGAGACCACAAGTGCTTACCTGTCCTGGAGGCTGCAAAAGATACCCAAGGCATCTCCTGTAATGGTCAGATGGTCGTTGCCCCAAAACAGAAATTAGGGTGGAATTGGGTGTAAGTCTGGGAAACAAAAACTGGAGAAGATGGTCTGGGTCATCCCTGCTGATTCTCCAAGCTCCGTTTTGTTTTTGCCTCTTTGCAAGCTCATGGCGGGCATTTCTGACTCCTTCTCTTTTGTGCATGGAGCAGGCTTTCTGGATTGGCTAGTGTGTACAGAAAGTCAGTAGTTGGCTTCAAGAGCCAGTCCTATGTTGCCTTCGAGGGAAGGGCTTAACCTGCACAGTGCCCCAGGATCTCTTCAGCATCTTGAACCCTGCTGGCCAGGTTTTGAGGACCCTGTGCCTACTTGTTACCTAGATGAATTACCAAGATAAGTATCTGGGTAACTCAGATAATGCCTTTGTCCCTGTGTGCATACCTGGTTGTGCCTTTCTTTTGTTCACTGCTTCTGCATGCAGAGGCTGACTCACAGCATAGCTGGCAGTCGGCAGGTGCTGAGAGCAGCCTGTTTAAATGGGTCTGATGGTTTGTGCATGTGACAAGGTTTTGAGGGAGGTGAGGATGGCAAGTAACCTTTTTATTCTTGGCAGCTTTGTAAAATAAACAGGAGTTTTCAGAAGCACTTCCTGCATAGTTTGCTTCTCTTTCCAATTGGAATAAAAGTATCAACTGGTGAGAGCTTGTGAAAATCTGGATTTTTAGTTGACCTGCTTACCAAAGGGAAAATGGGGGTGGCATTCAGCAGCTTTTTACAGAATTACAGACTTCCACTTAAAAAAGGAAGTGTAAGTTTCTTGCCCAGTTTATGAACAAATACAAACAAATACCACAAATACATAATAAATCCTATTTTTAAATACTAAGGGTCAAATTGAAGCTGTAAGAAACAGCATGGGCAGTAAAATAAGGAAGGATGTCTAAGATGTTGCCTGCTATTCAGTTTTATGCAGCAGTTAATTTCTTTTATTCTCCCTTCAGCACTGTGTTTATTTCTCCAGGAAGCTTAGAGCAGTGCTGGGCCTCAGGTGTGGTGGACCAGAGATCAGCAATTCTCAGAAAAGAGAAAGCGGTAAGGAGTAGGTTTTTGGAGTAGGTTTTTGTGGGCTCAGTAATCAAGCTTAAGAGTTGAGGCAGTGAAGTCAGAAACTACTGAGCAGTCAGTAGCTGGGGATTTGGAATCTGTGCGCATTAGCCTTGGGCGCTAAAGAAGATAGAAAGTCTCTCCCCTTTCCAAGTGGTATCAGTACAGCTTGGAAGATGAGACCTGTGCAGTATTTGTTCTGGCATTCCCTGCTGTGGTCTAGCCTCCAGTTTTCTGGCTTATATAGTGAATTTCTCAAGCACTTCCCAGGTTAGCAGGTAAGAGGCTGTGATTGTTGTCAAACTGTAAGAGCACTTTAAATCAGAACTTTTTTTTCATTTCCCAGAGAGAAAACATGAGTTAATAAAACCTGTCCTTGCAGCTAGTTAAGTATGGTGAAAGTCATGTCCTTACCATAATCTCTGATCAGCTTTGTTGCAATTTAATGAAGCATTTAAGTGCTTGTCTCCAAGTTTGTTTGATTTAATCATACACTGGAGAAATGTCTGCTGAAAAGAGCTGCTGTCTGAATCAGGGCCTTGGGAAACAGCCGTGAAATAAATGATAGAGCAGGTGCTGGGCTGTACACGTCTGCTACTGGTTGCAAAGCATGGGAAAAGGAATTTTTTCTTCTCCAGATCATGCAAGAGGCCAGTAGACATCAGGAAAATGTTGCTGCATAAATTGCTTTGGAGAAGGAATGTAAAGCAGCACTAAAAGGCTGACGAGTACAGTGGTGAGTGCGCAGCCTGGCAGCAGTCTCTGCCAGAGAGCTGGGTCAGGGGACAGGCTTGAGAACTCATGCATCCCTGTCCCTTGGGAGCTCTACTCATCAAGGTCTCAGTGAGCATGCTTGGTGGGCACACTGAACATGCCCTGTGAACAGCTGCCCAGGCTGTGGATACTCTCTAGGGTTTTCTCCTTCATTTTTGTAAGTAGCAGCGATGTTCTGAGGGACTATGTTTGATGCTTTATGGGGGACACTGTGTCCTTCGTCAGATGTATGCCATATGACTGGATTGGTGTATTCTACTCCCTAAAGAAGGAAGATGGAGACTGGCTCATTAGTAAAGATTGAGACAAACACATGTCACTTTCCACGAGGCAAAAGCCTGGGGCATTTGTTGTTCCCACACCAATCTGGAGTGCTGCTTTTCTGTGTCCTGCTCTTTGGCTGTAGTGATTCCCAGAGACTTCTGTAGCAGCAAAATCCCATAAAAAGCAGTACTGCACAGGGCAGGTGTTCATGTTCAGAGGTCATGACCCAATCTTGTAGGCATTTGGGCCAGAGAGCAGCAAAAGGCATTTCTGATACCCCAGGTCAGGTTTTTAGTACATTTCAAAAGTGCATCCAACCAGCTGGGGAAAAAAAATACTGCTTCTGAAGAAATGGGGAGGCAACTGGGGAAAAAATACAGCCTCTTTGCCTTACATGTGGAAGTAGTTTTCTGACTCAAAACGTATGAGAATATTTTAATCACAGTAGGAAGAAAAAGACAAGTCAAAGAATAAAAGGGGGGCTTTGGCCAAATCATTAGAAACATACTGACTTCTAATAGAAAATATTGGGTAACTCCAGGGAATTGGTGAGTTTGTGTGGAAAAATGGAGGTGCGTTTAATTCTGCTGGATTACTGGGTCCACAGTAGGAGAAACGTTAGTCCTTTCTTTTGCTTTCTTCCTGCAGGGCATTCTTAAAGTCTATTGATAGCTCTCACCTGAAAATTAAGCAAAGTGCCTACAAACTGCCACCAATGCCCTTTCCTTCACCGTTTTCTGGCTGTTTGCCTTTGGATTAGAGCTCCTTATACAAGTTTGGAAAAGATAGGATAAATAGACAGTGAAAACTCTAGAGTTGGAAATATTTCATCATATTGCTTTGAGGAGTACAGCAAAGCCCTGTTAGTGGTGAGAACCTCTCCCTGCTATAGCTCACTATAAGAAGCATTTGGGATGATTCCTCCTGGTGACCATATATGATCTGTTGCTCTGAGAAACCTACTTTTGTGTTACACGTCACTAGAAGTTGCTGCATGTGTAGCATCAGAGTGAGGCGAGTTGTACCAGTATGTTTGACCTGCTTGTGTTTTGGTTCAGTTGAGCCAGATTTTCACAGAGCTGAATATTAAGGATCTTCAAATAAACCATGCAGGATTCGGAAAGGAGCCAATAGATCACAGGATGAGCTGTAGGATAAGCTCATGGGATTCTTATTGCAAGTTCAGCTGTGGCATATGCACAAGACTAGTTTCAACTCTTCAGCTTTCTGAATTATTTTTATTTTGGGTCAGAGTTAAGGCTTTTTAAATGCCTGTTGTGCGTGTCATAGCTATTATAGTATGTGATTTTCAGGCTTGTTCATACTTGATGTGCTGCTACTTGGTAATCATGTGCATCAACAGTTCTTCTACACGTTAACATATTTTGAGGCTGTGTAGGAGTTATGTGCCAGAGGGAGTAAATCTAGCTATGTATATAAGGTAAATTACAAATGTGGATTAGAAGTTCGAGAATCGGGGACATTCCATACCAAAATACTTCACTTGAGTCAAGTGGCCTATTTGAAGAACTCCATTAGCTTGTAGTAATAGCAGGCATTTATCCATTGTATGCATTGGCTACTGGAGGGCTGAAATCAGACACACTTAGGTAGTAAGTGTACACCACTTACACTAAGTGGTGTACCTACTCCCTCTCAAAAGAAATCCATCCCAACTGTTGTCCACCCAGGCTCAAGTCAGCCTCCAGACCTTTTTCTTTGCAGGCTGGTATCAACAACAGAATTGTGACCTTTGTTGTGAAACCTGCTGGCATCTTTCGTATGAATTGCAAGAGAAATTATAGCAGGCAGCAGTCCAAGACATTGATCTTCAGCCACAAAAGTTGCTTATCATTAATTTTCTGCTTTATACTTAGAATATGTTTATGTTTGGGTGTGTGACTAGGGAAGCATTCAGGTGACTGCGAGGCTCATGGGCTTTGAATAGCTATACTGGCATGGTTTTAGAAGTAAGTCCATATGTTGAAATCTTGGCCCCATTAAAGTCGGTGACAAAAAAATCTCACTGACTGTCAGAAATTAAATTCAACCTTGAATTTCAAGGCTGTAGTCTTGTGGCTTTTGCAAATCTAACAGGGTTATTTTAAAAGAAATCCAAACCACAAAACCCAAAAACCTGCTTGAGAAAATGACTAATCTCAAACCCTGTATTGATATTTTTTCCTTAGATGAGATTTCTGCTCAAGACTTCTGTGTTACCATGAGCAGATATGGTACTTCCTTGATCAGAGGCAGTTTGCTTACTGTATTGTTAGGTAATTTCCCTCAGTATATTAATGTTTGTGTAGCAGGGGTCAAACAGTAATTCCATCTCGTTTCTCTCCCTTTACAGGCCCTCTACAATTCAATCAAGAATGAGAAGCTGGAATGGGCAGTGTAAGTATGCTGTGTAGAAATTAGGAGTTTAAAAATAGTACCTGTGTAGTAATCTGTTTATGCATTCTGTGTCACCATCTGAGTGGGCTCCAAAGCTTGTAGAAGATAGCCAGTGTACATAATGAGTTTGGTGTTCTGTTAATGAATGACCTGGCAGTACTGCCTCATCTGTTTCTCCAATAATGGGAGTTGTTAATGATAGGGGCCAACTGCATTTGTAAGGAAAGAGACCGTTTCATTTAGTAGGAAACTTCAGCTTGAAAAGAGAGAAATTAAATCCTCCATTGTTCTATGGCTGCATAAATAAAACAGAAGTTGAGTTCTCCCTTTATCTTTCAGTACATTGTGTCAGAATCACTGAATACAAATACACATCTTGGATTGAGTTTCTTCCTGTTGGGTTTATTGTCTTGGTTTGTCTCCTGATTAACTATGGATAACTTGACAACAACCTAATATGATAGATGATAAATTGGACAAAGTCTGATATCCCCTGTTCTTAGCTGCTTTTGACAGGCTAACACTTGTTAGCTACGGAAATACTGCAGACAAGAGCGAGCTTCAAGTTCTGATTGTGTTAAATTGACATTTCTCTGTGCTTAGGTTTTATGTGATTTAGGTACGCCAGCAAAGAGTAGAAGGGCCTGCTTTAGATTTTGCAGCTTCCAGAACAGTGGACTTTAGTGTAAAATAAAAAAATTGTCCTTTATCTGTTTTGACTGTACTAGATGTTTACCTGTGTACATTTACATACTTAAAACCTCACCTTCTTGAGAACAATGTAGGTTTGGGGTGCACACTCCTGCACCTTTTGTGCTAGAACTAACTTTTGTGCTAACAACTGCCATAGGTCTTGCAGGCCCATTGGCTTCTGATCTTCCTTGGTTTAAGTTCATCATCTGCAAATGAATTTCTTGTCAGGGTGTGCAGCCTCGCTTAGCTGGTCCCAACTGGGATTGTAGGCCTTCTTCAGAAGTGTATTAGAGAATGTCAGAGTAGTGAGGAGGGTGAGCTGGTGAGGAGAGTCACCAAGAAGTGCCATCACTGATGAGCCTCATAAGAAGCACAGTGGGAACCATTTTTCCAGACCATGTCTTGGACCTGGAATGTGCTGTGTGAATCTTACATGTCGCAACACCAGAGCTGTTTGTAAGATACTCTCACAGGTACTTTAGATCCAGCAGAATCTGTTACGTGACTTTCTCAATGTCAGAGTTTTCCTCCAGCTCTTGGCAAGAGACCATACCATGTCTAATACACTTGGGCAGCCTCCAGGTGGGAATTGGCTCATGTTTGGCTCTGCTCCTATGAGCTTCAGTCAAGGTGATTTATGAGATAACTTGCTTCTGTATAGGTAGTAGCTGCTTCAGCATTTACATAGTCCAGTCTGTATCCCTTGCTAATGAATTGTTTGGGGAAAAATTGCAAGCAGACTGGGAAAGGGAGAAATCACGACCTCCTTAAATAAGACTTTCTCCCAGCAGAATGCTCCAAGTGGCCAGTTGTCCATTCCAGTCTGAAACTCGGGCCGATAGCTGGGACTGATATGGCAGTTATTTTCCGTGCTGTAAAACAAAGCTCTGTCTGGGCATAGTAAAAAAGGTTGTGCCTTTATCTTTAGGGCTGAGAGTGCTGACTGGAAAAGGGAGTGTGAAGGTATCTCCCCTCACTTTTAGAGAGATGTGTGGTTGGTATAAAGTAGCCTGAGGACTGTCTGAGCTAGAGGGAGGAGGTACATCACTGTCTTTGCTGTCATGATCTGCAGAGAAAGGTGGATAGGAAGGGGACATGATTGTTGTTGCTATGGGGGGGAACTGAGGAAGATCCTCTCTCCTTTCTGAAGAGATCCTCTCTCATTTCCTGTGCTTCCCTGATGCAGTTGGCAGAGGAAGAAGTGGAAGGTAAGGCAAAGGTAGAAATCGGGCTGCAAAAACCAGCATAAGTTCCTTGTGATGCTGGCATTTTGAAGGAATGCCTTTCTTCCAGCCAGAATTCCTCTGAGGATCTAAGACTCTCTCTTATGAGCTAAGCAACAGTTTAAGAGCTTCTCTGGCAGTACATTATTTGGTGGTTTAATGACTGTCAGTAAGTCCACAGACAGGGGAGAGTAACAGCAATACATAAGATGGGGAAAGACTGCTACATGATCCTTATCTTACTAGTTGTTAGCTGGATGTGTCATCATTCTAAATGATTTGCTGTCTGTTTCCAGTAGTATTACAGTCTGATCCAAAGCCCACAGAAACAAAAAGCTACCATTGATTCCAGTTTTGTAGTCAATAGAAGTGGCACCTTCATCAGCAGATGAGCTCCAGAGCTTTCAGTAGGAGTAGTCATTTATCCCTTATGAAAAGGGAAACACAAACGCAGCTCTGGAAGAGAAACTTGCATTACAGTTCTTTTTTCTGTTGTAGTTCCAGGTTCGCGTTCTCCAAAAGGTTAAAAGCAAGTCACATACCATGATCTGTTAAATAAACAGATCTGACCTCGAATTTACCCTGAACTGGTGAGTGTGGGATCATGAATGCACACTCCTACTCCGCAGTGCACCCACCAAATTTTTTGGTTACTTTTCACAGCAGAACTGCCAGAAAACATTCTGCCATTTATGTGGTGTGCCATTTACCTTGCTTGCTCTTTCTCTTTGCCTGCCTTGTTGTTCAGTGTCCTGGCAGAAAAGAAAAAAGCAGTTGGGAAGACAAACCATCAGAAATACAATTATTCTGTCTTTTCTCCCATTCCATATTTCCCCTCTACTGCTTACAGTTTGAGATCTCTCCTGTCTGTTGGACTGTGGTTCATTTCTTTGAACAGCAAGTGAAGCACTAAGTAGTGATCAGAACTCACTGAATTAATAGGCAGAATTTCCTACTGATGGCAGTGAAGCCATGTACTGCTTCATCCAGTTAGTCAAATGCATCCTGTTTTCTGTGTACTGAGATCACTGGGACCACCCTAGGAGAGCATGTAGCTGCAGTAATTGTACTGTAATTTCTAATGATGCTTATATTTCCCTGGGGGTCTTGATATTTCCATGAGATTTTTTGATACTCAGAAGGTAAACTCTTGTTCTTCAACCCTGACATCACCTCTAAGATGAAATGAATTAAAGATCCTGTGAACATGAACAGCAACACTAAAAGTCAGGTTTGTTTAGCTGGAAAAGGGAGCATTGAGGACCCCAGTGTAATTTTTTCAGGGAGTAAAGGCTGTTGCAGAGGAGCAGGGTGTGAATTATTCTTCATACCCATTGTGGATGAGCTTAAATTTGAAACATGGGAAGTTTGGGTTAAAAAAGTTTTCCAGCAATAAGCCTTTTAAATGCTGGACAAGCTATGAAAGTGCATTCACTAGAGGTTTTTATGAGCTAGTCATTCTGTCCAGAGTGGCTTAAGAGGAGTGGGTTCCTCCTTAGAGGTAGAGAAATAGATTAGCTTACCTCCTTCAGTCCCATTGTCTTTAATATTATGGCCCAGGTTTTGTAGATGTTTCTCAACCTTCATTTTTTTCAGCTGTCGTTGTCAGCTTTAAGCTGAAGAAGAAAAATTAATTTGGTTTTAAAGGTGCCAGAGCTAAATATGTTTTGTTTGCATGATGTCTACATCGAAATGTGATGATGAACATTATTGCTCTTCCTTGTTTGTAACATTACGTCTACTGCCTATTGAAGGTGATAGGAATAATAAAATAATCAACTTAAAATAAGCTGAATGGTGATCTAATTAACATATGAAATCCCAAAGTGTTGCTTACAAAACTGCAAAAAAACAAATGGCTGCATTCAAGTCAGTTGTATCAGGAAACCTTTCTCTGAGCAGGACAGTGTACTTTTCAGGTGAATCACTGGTTTTTGATGAGTTGATGATGTAGTTTTCTTTCCAGAGAAGTTTAGACATAAACAGGGTATGTTCTTTTTTGTTTTATTCTGGACTGCACTGAAAAATCATCTCCTTCCATCCAAACCAAAATAGGTCTTTCAGGCAGTGATGGTGGGAAAGGGCTGCTGCCAAATCCTTTCTGTGTTTCCTACGGCAAACTGTGACGCTGAGACCGGGGTGGGTATAAAGACGTCTGTGCTGAAGCTCACCTTTTCTAGGTCAAACTCAGAAATCTCTCCCCATTATAATTAACTCTTTGTCTCCTGAGTTCTAGGATGTTCTCTGTTTGCAACTTCATGACTGCTTTCAGAGGTGATAATGCAGGTGGTAATCACCTGGCTGTCCTTTCTCCTCTCCTCCCTTTGAGAAAGGTGCCAAAACTTAATTCTGCTGGTTTCTGAGGTCAATTTTCTAATACAGATGCTATTCGTTGCACAGATTCATATAATTATGCTACAAATCTATTTATTTTTTTAAATGCCAATTTTTAAATGGATAAACCCAGCCTTTTTCCATATTATGTAAGTTTTCTATTTGAACAAATGCCGAGATGAAGCAGACTTTTAAGGGCCTGGCCCTGTCTTTCCAGCTTAGTGACTTCGAAGTTTTCCAAGGCAGACCCTCAAATCAGACGAGAGAGTGTGTAGAAATGTTTTTGTTACTGAGATAACTGGATGGTTTTCTCCCAGAAATGGAACTTTCTTGTATAGGGTCTTTCTGGGGAAAGGCAAAAATATATTTCTTTGCCTAAAGGGCAACATCCACTTTTTTGCATGTTTTTCAAATCTGTATGTTTAAGAGTAAGAGGAAACTCTTTCTGGTTGTCAGTGATCATTTGGGAAGGAAGAACATTGCTGTTTCAATGCTGTGTCTTCAAGTGATAGAGCAGGTAGGGTCCCGGCTTTGGTGTGCTGGTTCTTGTGGGCAGCCAGTGCCCTGGTTACTGCTCTCTCTGCAGGTCCTTTTCCAAAGAGACAACCTAAGGGAGGTGGAACTGAAGCTCCTTGTTTTGAGAAACCTTGGAAATATCAGTGTGCCATAAGCAGAGTCTCAGAGAAACTTGAGAGGTGGGTAGCCTTCTCCTGTCACCAGTATCCTGCAAAGCAGAGGCTCTAGTACATTCCTTGCAGGAATCTGGTACCTCTACAGGAGGGTTCCCAGCCATCAGGTCCTGTCAGTCATCAGAGAGGGATCACCAGAGGAATCAAGACCAGACCCAGAGCCAGGAATGATGTCTCTCTGCTGATCAAAGACAGAAGGTGTTCTAAGACTTCTGCAAACCTAAATGGGCCCTAATCATGGTGTTTCGCTACTGAAATGTGTTGGAACCAATGTGGGCTTTTTTCCCCAAAGGCACAAGGATTGTGCGATTTCCTGTACCAAATGGAAAGGAGTGGGACCAAGCCTGCCTCTGTAAAGGACCCGAGGTCTGCCTGTGACACCACATCCATGAACATTCCTGCACAGACACCACCCACTGACTCCTATCCCTGCCTCACTGGAAGCCTTCACGCTGGGGATATTACTGGACTTGAAGCATCTGTGAGAGCCGTCTGAGCATGAGGAGGTAGTTGCACCCCCCACAGGCTAGGATTTCAAAGAAAGATCATTGTTCTGGTGATGTACCCAGAGACCAGCTGAATTTTCTGCAGCTCTTCCTTCTTGCAGCTGTACCCTAAAGGCTGGTGAGGAGTAAGCTTGAATTGTTACATCCTTCGTAAAGCCTATCCAGGATCTATCTATTCAGCCAGCTTTGGAGGATACATAAACAAAGGCTAATACCTGAACTGTTTTGCTACTTTGAAAGTCCTTCCAGTCATCCTGCTTTCTTCCTATGCTTGGCCACTGAAGCAACATGGAGTATTTGAAGAAGTGGGTCCCAGATCCCCTGGTTTTATTTCTAGTGGTGTTTCATATTCAAGATCAGAAAGGTTGAGAGAGAGAGAGAGAGATTGAGTCTCCTTTTAGTTCTATTTTTCTCAGCTGTTCATCCATTTCTTGTTCTCTGTAATGAGTCCCCCTTGCCTCTCTGGTTCCCTTCATTACATCTTACAGACTGGCTCATGCATCTTGTCAGAGCCCTCAGCTCTCACAAGTGCCTGAGGCTTCTGAGTTTCAAGGATGTTCCATTTTCAATGACAGATTAAAGAACCAATTAAAGGTTTATTCAGTGCTACCAGTAGTCATGACAGCAAATGCCATTTTATCCTTGTCTGCCTTGTCTGCGTTTGTCTTTTGAAGAACTCCTGTTTAATAGCTGCCCCAGAGATGCTGAGTTTGAGAGCATTGGCCCCAGCACTTGTGGTGTCCAGGATCCCCAGGACTGCTCATGACACCACTTGTGACTGCTTGGAGAAGAGTTCTGGTACATTAATGCAGGACAGTTGATCAGTATAAGATAATTGATTCCCATAGCTCCAAAGAAGGTTGATTATTTAAAAAAAATGCGAAGCCATTTACTGCAGTAGGTCTTTGCTGACAAGGAGAAATCCACTGTGTCCTTGGCTGAGATCCCAGAATTCACAAGGCACTTCTATGTGACAAATCAGCCTGAGTGGTTCTGCCCTATGAGAGATTTCAGTCTGGATTAGGTACCACAGACTTGTATTGTGAGAATTTTCTCCTGGAATGGACATATGCATATGATGGTCCCATAAGCAGACATGGTTGCAGCGTGCCTCAGAAGGAGCTTTTGGGCTGCCATATGCCTTGCTAGTCTTCATCTGATACACACCTTCGAGCATATGCATGCGATTGGAAGGTCTGCCTAAGTTTGCTCTCTCTGCTGGTCATCTGAGTTGAGTGAGATGCAGCAGCTTCATGTCTAACCCCCTATTAGCCATCATTACACTCAAATGATACTGATTATTTTTTTCATCAGCTGCTGGTCTTAGGAGAAGGATTGATACCATGACTTTCTAATGACAGCCTTCATCCTCCTTGACACCCCTTTCCCAGTCACCTAGAGGGAATGTATGGAGACTTCAAGGGGCACAGGGCAGCGCTGTATTCTGACAGTAGCTGTTGTTCTTTCAGATACACCGTCCACCCAGATTGAGTGGCCTGTTCTCTGAAAACCATCATCCTAGTCCTGTGATGCACACCTTTTGTTTTCTGGTGCTTTTTGCTTTGGCTGTGATTAGCAAAAAGGCATTTATTAGGCAATGCTTGTGACTTGCTGAAGTGGGTTGCATTGTTGTCCCCAAGAGCTTTGTTGAATGCATTGCCCTAATAAGTAACATTTTGAGCAGCATTTTGTTTCTAAAATATAGATAACATAATTCACCTAGTGTAGTTTTTATTTTTAAATTGCTACTTTTATGCTAGTCTGTGGAGGAAAATAAAGAAAACAAGGTAGAGTCTGTGTTTCATATGCTAAGTTAAGGGGTAAGCCACAGTGATCTGTAGTAATCTAATTGTGTTCATTTACATGTGAACTCATGAAGAAACTGGAGATTTTTCAGGAGAGCGCAGCAGGCAAATATATCCCATTTTAGCACTCAAATAAGTAGAATTTAAAATAAGTGAAGTTGGAGGATACAGAACACTCTTGAAATCCTGCCTTTTGAGATTGTAAGAGGGAAACTTAGGCTTTTTTGAAAATCTGGCTCCTAAATCCTGTGCTGGTGAAGTAGGTGAACTGAAGCCTTGCTATAATCCAGCTACATTTTGGTACGTTTCTAAGTAGGGCCTCCTATAAAGAGAAAGGCATGTTTTGACAAGGAGTGTGCAAGAATTATCAAGGTGAAGCTTCGCTGATCAGTCTCTTGTTCATGCTTGGTTTTCACTGCTTTTTAAGGGATGAAGAAGAAAAAAAGAAGCCTCACTCTGATGGTGCAGATGAAAAGGACAATGGGAGCCAGATGAAGGCTGTCAGTCGAATTGGTAACTCAAATAACCCATTCCTGGATATCCCTCATGACCCCAATGCTGCGGTGTATAAAACTGGATTTCTGGCTCGGAAAATCCATGCAGATATGGATGGAAAGAAAAGTGAGTATCTTTCACTCTTGAATGCCTCATTTTCTTGTTATCTCTGCACAATGTCACTTATGATGAGCCCATGTGCTTCTCAAGGCAAATAGTGCTGCTTCATTAAGGGAAATTGCAGCAATAACAAACAATGCAGCAATTGGATTATCACACTCTCACTATTAGGCCAGGATTTACAATGTTCAGTCCCATTTGCAGCAGCTCTAATGTGTGAGCATAATGAGTAATGTGATACAGTAAAGCAATGTGAATCTTTTGTGCTAAAAGAAAATGGATCTCATGGTTTACAGAGAAAACAATTTCAAGTGAATTACAGTAGCTGCTCCGTAGTAGTTTGGTAATGCTCCTTTTCCTTATGTGACACCAGATGGTTTCAAATCTCTCCTCCCCTCTGGGTCTGTCTTTAAAGAAAGGCTGTTCTTTATCTCTCCTTGGAAAATACTGTAACCATTCCCTTCCTTGCATTCCCAGCCCTGGGTCACATACTCAATGAAGTTCAGCAGCTTTGGTAACAGCCAGATTTATGCCATAGAGTTCCTCCCTGCCCCTTCTTTGTAATAGTACTGCTGTGTCTCTTACTTTAATTATCCTGTTTCCTTGTCCTGCGGTTTGCAGTGCACTAATTATTGAAGGCTTCTGATTCTCCTGTATGTGTCTTTTTGTTTGGATATCTTCATTTGTTTGTTTTCTATTTATGTTCTTGGAGACAGCAGAGGCTACTCAGAGCATCTGTATTTTCGCCAGTCATTGCTGATCATCACCTATTCATGGTTCATGCTGCTGGGCTGAATCCCGAAGACAGAGTCTGACTTTGTGATGGGTTTCCAATAACTGCAGTTCTCCCCTAGCTGGGCTAAGCTCTTTGGTGTTCATGTGTTTTGCTAGTGTATTTTACAAGGTACAACTGGAGTTCAGTGTTTTCAAGCTGGAGGCTGACAGCTGGATGACTAATTCCAATCAGAGACATTGAAATCAAACTGACCTCATTCTTTGCGATGACTGGATGCTCTGAATAGGTTCCTCTTTATTAAACTTCTATTTATTTAACCTTAATAAGTAATAGAATCTAGTTGTCTTTATTAAATTATTTCTTTAATTATAAGTAATCAGAATTACTCATTATTCAGCACACTGGATGTTAGCATTTTAGGGATAATTCTTCTATTAGTAATGTAATTAGGGCCATGTTTTCAGAATTTCCTGTACCTCTTAGTGGTCTGTCTCTCATTGTCACGCAACTCTTGAAAAAGTTACATTTTGACTTTACAGTTGCAAATAAAATGAAACTATTTTTTTTTAAGTTCATTAGACCTTTTCATATTTCATTTCCTAATGGAGTTGTTGCAGGGCAGAGATCAGCTTGTGTGGGATTGCTAATGAAGTGATGTGCGAGCATGCTGTATGTATTTTCTCAGGAAAAGAGTACTGAGGGCTAAAGCACTTAGGCGGGCTAGAGGAGGAGGATGTAACAGGAGTCAATGGCTGGCAGCTGAACTGAACAAATGCCAATTAGTAGTAAGGCCTGTCATGTGAAATGAGAATGATTAACCTCTGGAGCAAGGGATTAACAAACCTCTTCACCATCTTTTGCTGTCTTCAGATCAGAATAGGATAGGATCCCTTTCTAAGGGTGATGCTTTAGCCATACACAGGTTATTAATTTCAGTATAGAGGCGAGTGGATGTGGCTCAAAGGTGCCTGCTTGGTGGAGAATGAGCTTAGATGCAGTCTTCTTGTCTTTGGTACTGTGGCAGTACAGCCTGTGCTGTCTCTCCCTCTCTTGCAGCTGAATTTCAAACTGGTGCCCTCATGCTGAATCCCCTTTTATTAAACCTCTCCTTCTTTCTCCTCCCCCCACTGCTTGTTTCTAGGAATTTTGTGGGCTGGATATGTTGTTTCTGTTACGTTCTTCTACCTCAAACTGACTTTAGTCTTCTTGAGGGGTGATTTTTTTTTCTTTTCCTTAGTATTTAGTTTGGCTCCCCTCTCCTTTCTTTTCTTTGGCTCCCTCTGCAGCTGCAGGAAGATGAGAAAGGACCAAGAAGCCATCTGACCACTCAGTGCCAAGTCAGGTGTGCAGCAAGGGAGAAAGATGCTCTTGAGAGCCAGCCTGCTGTGGCATGGAAAAAGGGTGTTTCCTTCTGAAAGCTGCCACAGCGCAGAGCTCAGACCTAGCTGTGTAGGGGCAGAGTCTGCCTACCTGCAAGCGTACAAAGACTGGAGCTCTCTGGCCTGCTTTCTGCACTGCTGCTGTTCCCTTCTGATCCAGTCCAGGGCTGTCGTCAGGGTTGTTTTATTACTCTCACACACAGCAGGTATGTGCAGGCACTGTGCTGAGTTGCATTGTCCTTTGAAAAGAAGAGTACAAAGGAGGTTTAACACAGGACTAATGTAGCTCTCCTGTTGCCTAGACGAAGTGTAAAAATGGATCCGAGTTAAATGGATTTTCATTTGTTTTCTTTGCAGCTCCCCGGGGAAAGCGAGGCTGGAAAACCTTTTATGCTGTGCTGAAGGGAACAGTCCTGTACTTGCAGAAGGTAGGGGAAATCACTGTCTTTTGGAAACTAATTAAAGAGGGATAAAGCAGCAGGCATCCTCTCTGCTCTCACAGCCCACCTCCAGGCCCCTTTCCCTCTGACACACTGTAGCTGCTCTCTCTGCCCCCCACCCTGTTTACACACACATCCAGGCACAAATCCTTCCATTGACACCCTCCACCTTTTCACACTTTCAGGTTCAGTTCCATCGTACCCCATCCACACATGCACCCTATCGATTCCAGTTTATACCATTGCTGTCACTCACGGCTGAAAAAATAGCTTAACCAGCAAAGATAGCATCATCTCTCTGTCTTGTATGCATTCCTCTAGGCTGCTTTTAACATTGCATTTCATACGTATGACTTCCCCTCCTGTAAGGCTGTCCTCCTTTCCCATCCTTTCATAGTATCCTTTTCTGCAGTGCCTGCAAGACCAGCTGCAAAACAATTGAATAGCAGCTTGGCCTTGGTAGGAATCTGCAGCTTCTGCTCCATAGCAAAATTGAAAGATAAAAGGATTTCCCCCCCCCCCTCCGAGCAAGATGAGACACAGTTTTCTAACAGATTTTGCTCCCTGACAGCAAGAAGTCTTAAAAAAATGTCAGCTGAAGTGCTTCAAATCTTTCGGCGCAAGCTTAAACATATTATAGCACAGTTTTAACTTATTCTCTTGGAAAGTGAAATGCAGTGTATGAGTGATAACTGTCAAAATCAAATAAGTGGTAGCAGCTAAGTAGGTTGTTAAGGCTTTTTGCCACCCAGCATAGGTGAAATACTCATTAAATAAGTGGTGGTTGTGCAGAGTGTCCTGTATTGTAGAAGTATGTTCCTTTGAAAGCCTTTTGACATTTCCACTGTGTTTCGCAGCTATCAGGAGTGCAAGTTAAGTGCATACTGCTGTTTTCTCCTCCTCTGCTGTGGCTTTCTGAAGCTATTGCTTTCATTGGAGCCAGCCTGTGTATTCTCTGAGAAGAGAGTGAGTGGTTTGGATCAAATTCTTACAGCAGGACGTTTGCAAGGTGGATGCTTTGGGTGCAGTAACTTTTTGAGAGGGCGGAAATCCTGAAACAGACAAAACAATCTGCAGTCAGGAGGGAAGATTTGCACTGAAAGTTGGATGTGACATGTTCAAAGCCAGTGCAAGAGACGAGAACCAAGTCTGCTGAGTAGCAGCTGAGCCTTCCCTCTGGACTTCTTGCTGGGAGCAGGTTTAGATTTTATTAAAGTGTCCTTCATGGCAGGTTTGTACTTGCCCTTTCCTGGGTGAAATGGAGTCACCTTCTTTGATTTGTGAAATAAGTCAGCTTTCATGTTCACCTGAAAGGACTATGTGGTTCCCTAAGAAGTAAGAAAGCTCCTTGTCCATAACATACTAATTATCTTACTTCTTCTTTGAGGGGGGTTTAATAAGATTTCAAGGGGAAGAAAGGGAGATGCTGTCTATTTTATAGTCTTAAATACTTTTAGGACTATCCCTGGCATATTGGTTTAAAATGCTTTCTGTTTGACAAAATGCAGAGATGTTGATGTAGCATGCAAATGTTCTATAGGATGTTGCTCTCACCACTCTCACTCTCCCTCTCCATCCTTTGTAGAACAAAAAAGTAATTTCACATATGACTGCATCTTTGCGGAATGAAATGCATTTCTGGAGCTCTTGTTCTTATTTATTTGTTATTTGTGTGTCTCTGCAAAGCTGCACTCTCCCACTTGGTCCTGAAGATGCTTGCACTGAAGCCATCTTTCTGTAGCACAGTGACAAGCAAGGCTTCCACTTGAGTGCTGTAAAAGGTGCCTGATGGGAAGTGACTCATTCCTAGGGTGATGGGGCAGCTGTAAGCCTCACCAGGATGCCTCTGGCCCCTGCTCAGCCACAGTGCCTCATGCTGCTGCTGTGAAAAAATCATCCTCTGATTTCTCTTCAGCTCCACAAGGTCCAGCAGGGCTTTGCTTCAGCTCTGAAACACACTTTCCTCTGTTAGGGATGTGGTATTGCAGAAGTTGAGGGTGCCAGGGTTTTAAAATACATAGCTAGACCAAGCTGTTATAGTAAAAGTTGCTGAGCTGTTGTTTCCTTTTGCAATATACGGGGAGACTGAAATGATCTGAATTTCAGAAAGTTCATTTTGGAACAGCTTGATTTATTTGTAGAATTGTATAGCTCTGGCAGTAGTCATGGGCAAAGGATGTTCTTGCCTCTCTTTGCCTTCTCTTCTGGTTATGGAGTGCTATAGGGCAGGGTGCATTTGCATATGCACACACACAGTTTCCCTCTTTCTCTCATTATTTATGTATTATGTGCGTATCTGTGGAGGTAACAACTGTGATGATGGTTTCATTGCACTGAGAGCTATTCAAGCAGGGGAGAGAGAAATCTCACTGCCCTATGTGCTGTATACACACAGACATATGTACAAACTTCTGCACTATTGCCTTCCATGTTTGTCTGTAACAACTCATCTGTTCCCTCAAGACACTAATATACATATTGTTTGTAGCAGCTGTGATTCTCCCAGTGGGCAGTGAGATCCCAGTTCTGCTGTAATTCTTGCATACCAGTCCAGTTCCCCTTGTTTTACTGTCAAAGTTCATGTATGAGAGTGGTTTGTAAATGGTGGTCACTTGAGATTAGCTGAAGAGTTTTATCTGGGCAGTGTTGTCTCCATGCCCACATTTATTTTTCCATTGGAACTGTTCCAGTGCTAATTCTTGTGCTGCATATTGTTGTATTTTTAAATGAGTGATTTAAGAGAGATAGTTTCTGACGTAGTGAGCACAGAGGCCACCGGAGGCGCTCAGTGGAAGTATTCACAATTAGCCAACTGAACATGCCTGCACAGTATTATATAAAATGAGAGGTTTGACATGTTTGGGATGTTGGCCCTGTCTCTGGGCATCCTCACGCCAAGGTTAATTTCCTGCCCTCTGTTCACAGCAAGAGGAAATTGCAAAGTAGGAGCTTGACAGAATGTCTGTTCGCTAGACTGACATGGGGTGTGATGTGCGTACGGAAGAGGTCTGTAAGGATAGGACATAAGGCTGACCTCGCTTCCTTGCTAAAAATTGCTTCTGGGCAAGGACGTGGACCTTCATATTTCGTTTGGACTCTTCTGTAAGGTTTGCAACATCTTTGCTCTTTAATGTGGCACTAATCATGTGGCCTTTCAGTTATTTTTATATAACTTTTCTCAAATGTGTTTCCTCTATTAAAATAAATAAATAAAAAAAAACCATGAGAGAGAGAGAAAGGCCAGAATGATGTAAAGTGTTTGGTGACGAGACTTTCTGAAAGAATTTTGGAGCCGTCGCATGCAACTGAGCGGAGATATCCACCCACAGTACATTGACTGATAAAAAGCCAAATGCCATTCTCTGGTCTATCAAAAACAGATTTAGAAACATGCTGACTCTAGGTCAGCAGAATGTGGGAAAGTCATTCTCTAGGAGTCTGAGAAAGATGAGTTCAGTGTGTCGTTGCGTTGTGTGCAGCACTCACATCAGCCTTCAGTTGATAGAGAGGTCACAGTTCCTGTCTGACTCCTCATATATTTCTTGCCTCATATAAGTCTTCGTCTAATGTTAGTGAGCTGCCTTCCATTTCAGCTCAGCCTCTATGCTGATGCCAGCACATCAGAACACGTGCTGTCCTTGATGGCAGAGGGGATACGGATGTTCCTGCTCCCCTATCATTCCCTATCAGTTGAAAATAGTTGGAGGCCTTAGAGGAGGAATTTTGACAGCACATTCACTTCCTTCCAGCTTTCTCTGAGGCTGGCCAACTATGCGGAGACATTTCTGGTATGCTGTTCGGTGCCTTTGGAGAAGCTGGCAGAGCCCCAGCTGTCAAGGTAGATTGCAACCAGCTGATCTGGTGGGATTAGCAAGGATTATTGTGAATGCTCTGTCAGAAAGAAGGGGTTCTCAGCTAGGAATGTTTCTGGAACTGCCCAAATGTGGAGTTCTTCTGGCACAGGTTTAGACACCAGAGTGGGTTGTGGACATTGGATGCATCTCACAAGAGGAAGCTGGGAGGCAAGAGGGAAGGGGATAGCTGATACTGTTTCTAGGCAGTTAGTTGAGGGAAACCAGGGTATCGTGTTTCTGTGGCCTGAGTTAATTTCCTGGTCCTGAAGTTTTCCCAGTCTCCCTGGACAGTGCAGACAGTCATTTCCCCCCAAACTACCGCCAAATAAATCAGCTTTTGAACCCATGAAGGAAGGGGCTTGACCTTCAGGCTTGTTTCCTCCATCTTCAAGGTAAGTCTGGGCCAGATGTTGGACAGCCTCCTTCAGTTCTTGTCCTTTGGATACGGACTTTAGCAAATCTTTGAAGAAGGTTTAGAGAATGCCCTAAGCAGGAGTAGGCAAAGTCCATCATGACATGCGGATCCTCCAAAGCTTGCTGGGACTCAAGCTGTGACAAAGGAAGGACATTTGGCTTTGTTCACTATCACATCTTGAAAAAACTCATTATGTCACATATGTTTATGTTGAAAGTAATCTGTGCAGCAGTGCTCTGTCCTTCTGCTAGGTCTGCCAGATCTGTGGTGGGTTTTGCCCTGGTCTGGCCCCAAATGAAGGTGGTGCTGCAACAGTATTGCTAGTTAGCTGCATCTCCTCTGGTGAGGTGTCTGAGAAGCAGCAAGTTCTGGGCCTCCACTAGCGGGATCTGTGTGAGGAAGGATGAGATGTGGTAGAGGAGCAGGACACTTTGCCCTCCCTTCTGGAAGGTGGTCACCACAGCTTGTGACTCCTCATCCATTGAAACTCATCCTGGAGAGCACCAACCAAACCCAGCCTGGAGAGAGCACAGATGTCCTCAGCAGCAGTATAGTTGCCTCTGGCTGCAACCCTGATCTGTGTGCTGCCAGATAAGTGTTGTAAACCAATTCATGCACATTATCTAGCTCTTCTCCAGGGTGAGTGCCATCTGAGTGCTTAAGTTAGGGCTGCCCTGCACAAGCTCTGCATCCTGCACCCTGTTGCCTGCTAAACCCTGTATTATAACTCTTGTGTTCAAGTGGAGGAATCAGTAGTTATCACGCTTGCAGGGAATTATTCCTCCATTTTGCAGCCATCACACCCCCTCTCTTGGTGGGTGTTTCAGATGACACTGATTTTTGTGATGCACTAAGAGGGAGAAACACAGTCAGTTGCAGATTGCTTTGGCCTCCCCTTTAGAAACTTCACTTATGCAGCATTGCTGGCAAGTGACTGTTCCTTGAAGAAGCTCCTGGTTTTCTCAAGCCATTTATAGTCAGATGGGCTTTAAACTGGACTTGTGGCTACACCACAATTTGCTCTCACCCAGCTTCTCTCACTCAGAAGATCAAAGACTGCAACACAGAGGAGTTTGACTCCCTGCTTTTGTCATTTGGTGTTAGGAGTGGTACTGTTGTTGTGTCAAAAACCATGAGGGTGCTGTGGTTGCCATTTCCAGACCCTGAACAGAGATTTAGAGGAGGTTTCCTTCGTGGACACTGCTAAGGAGGCTTCTGCACAGTGTGACAGCCTGCCTGGGATGACATACAAAGGTAGTTATTTGAAAAAAATTAAAATCGGGCAGTGGAGGCTGAGAACCCAAGCAGAAAACAGCAGCTGAGCAGTGGAGGTGGGGAGCCGGCCATGCAGGGTTCCTGAAATGAAGAAAAATAGTGCACAGCTGTTGCGATAGTCAAATATTCCCTTGTCCTGTCAAGTAAGTACTGGAACTACTTCTCTTCCTTGCAAAGAGATCGTAAAAGAGAAAGAAAGAAGAAGGAAAAGATGTTAAAGGTAGTAGAAACCACAAGTACTCAAGTCAGGTTGCATTTAGTTCACATGCCTTAATACTATTCATGACTATGAACCAAGATGTTTCCCTAGGTTAAGGAAAAAGAAATAGCCTGTGGAGAAATAAAATGCCATTTTTCCCGTTAACTCCTGCAGGATGAATATAAGCCAGAAAAGGCTTTGTCGGAGGAAGATCTGAAGAATGCAGTTAGTGTGCATCATGCACTGGCATCCAAGGCAACAGACTATGAGAAGAAACCCAATGTCCTCAAGCTTAAAACAGCAGATTGGAGAGTCCTGCTTTTCCAAGCCCAGTAAGTGCTCTCTTCTGATTTGTGCCAATAGTTGAGAAAAGAAAGCAGTGCTGAAGGAGAGGTAAAAGCAAAGGTTAAAGCAGAGGCTTAAGAGGTTCAATCTGTTTATTTTATCAGAAATAAGATTAAGTAGTGATTTGATTAGAGTGCACAAGTAGTTCATGAGAAAGAAACATCAGGTTTTAAGAGGCTTTTTAATATAGCTGAGAAAGGCATAACAAGATGCAGCAGCTGGAATCTGAATCCATAGGAAATTCAATTTGAAAACAAGGCACAAAGTTTTAACAGTCAGGGTGATTTATCATTGAAACAAATTACCAAAGGCAGTCTTAGATTGTCTGTCTCCTGATGTCATCAGGTCCTAGCCAGATGTCTTTCAAGAAGATATGCTTTGGTTAGAAACAAAGTTACTACTTAATAGAATAATAATTTGATTAAGTTCTTCAGGCTACGATATCCAGACAGAACAGATGACCTGCCTTTTCTTCTGACATTAAAAACCTATGCATTAGTCTTGTGCATGAGCCCTCTTCTACTGAGAGCCATCTGAAACCTCCTAGAGATCTGTGGTGTCCAGCACAGCTGAGTCCTTGGGACACATGTCTGAATCAGAGCACTGGTTGTCTCTGTCGCCTGTGTCCCTTGGATTGGATTAGGCAAAGATGCATGCTAGGGTGAGTAATGAACCTATTCATGACCCAACGTATGGCTGAAATACCTGACACTAACCACTTGCAAAGATCTATCACAGAGCAGCTTCTCTGACTTGTCCAGTTCTGGTTATTCTCGCTTTGCCATTGAAGGGGTGGCAAAGAGGTAGAGGAGGCTGAGTCAACAAGTGCTTCATACGTGTTTTTTCCCTAGGAGCCAAGAAGAAATGCAGACCTGGATCAACAAGATTAACTGTGTGGCTGCTGTCTTCTCTGCACCACCATTTCCAGCGGCAATTGGCTCTCAGAAGAAGTTCAGTCGCCCACTCCTGCCAGCCACCACAACGAAGCTATCTCAGGTGAGCTGTTTTTATACAGACCGTAGGTGATGGAATTTCTTTGGCTGGCTGGAGACTGGAGGGTGGTCTTTGGCATTGCTTTGTGGCTGTTGCCACTCACATTTCTAGGAGAAGGAGTCTTGCATGGACCTCTGCTAGCACACAGTAAATCTCTGCTTTTTTTCCTGGTGCAAGGCTTGAACTGAGGAGAGAGAAGGAGCAGACTTGAATATAATTGTTTTGTATTTCTGAAGAAAAAAAACAACCACCAACGTTTCTAGTACCAGATACAGAATTTTCATTCCACAGGTTTGGCTCTGCAGAGGACATTTCAAATACTGACTGGTGTTTGGTTTTTTTTATTTATTTTGAGTGTTTATTGCCACTTATTTCAGAAGAAATTGACATACTCCAAGTCTTTGGCTTATCGGGGTGATAAAAGGTGAAAGCTGATGCATCAGGCAAGCATCAACTGTATTTCACCCAGAATACTATTCCAGACTCAACTTTTATCAGCTCAGGGGTTTCCTGTTTAATGTGTATTTATGAACTGTCTCTTACATGAATGTCTTTGGTCTACCCTTGTGATCACAGAAGCTTTTAGCTTCCACAACATCCTGTGGCAGGGAGTTTCACAGCTTTACTACTTCTTGCACAAAAAAACCACCTACTTCTGCTTGTTTCAGACTGGCTGTGTCTGATGCTTGCGCCTGTAGCTCTGTGTACTTTGGGAGCTGTGATGCATGCCTGCAATCCCTCCTACGCTGGCAGGAACACAGTACTGATTGCATTAATCAGATTGACAGAGTGGCAGAAGTGATAGATGCCAGTCCTAGGTGTACATTTATGAGTAACCTCCTGTAGCTTTTAAAGTCATCTGCCCATGCTAGTTTGCCTCTTAAATGCGGTTTTTTTTTGCCATCACCATAGCTTAGCAACACTCCTTAGAAACCATTATCTCATAATCTGCATTTCTGTAAGGGGGTGGGGGTTTTATGTCACCCCTGCTTTTTCCCTCTCTGTGACAGTAGACTTTCTTCTTCTGATGTTGTGACCGACTTTCCATGTTCTATTCTGGGTTGAAGTTTAAACATGTCTCATACAGAATAATACTAACTTGTCTCATTCTTGTGGTTTTACCTTTTGCTCATGCATACCTGTTAAAAAATGCTCTATTAAGGCGTCAATAATTTACCCCCAATCACCAAAAAAAGCTTTTTTACTCATCGTTGTTCTGTGTGATTGTTCCATTTAGCACATTGTTTCCTAGTCTCATTGTTTCCATTTAATCTGGAAAGGGAAAAAATAGAGCACAGTCCTGTGGCTTGTGTCTCGAAGAATGGGAGACACAAAAAGTGGAATAAGATAAGCTGTTTTAGCTAAAGACAGAAAAATGTTAAGTGTTCAAAGCAGATAAATTCAAAGACAAGCAGAAACATGTCTGCTTTTATCTGTCAGTGTGGAAAAGCTTGCCAGCAGGCTGCTTCTCAGTTGGCAGACAAAAAAATATGAATTGTCAAATCCCTGTGGTTGCTGTTTAGGATTTTGTGAGCTGAATCATGATGGACAGTACTTCTTCAAAGGGCCTGTTCCTGGTCAGGCAGAAGTCAGGATGCAGTGAGAACCTAACACGGGCGAGGGAGAGAGGTTGGACATAACAGGTTGTGCAAGATCTTTGTACCAAGTTTGCTTTCAAAAGCACATCAGTGTCTGATCTTGGTTAGTCCAACCAAAGAGGCATGTGACAAAGCTAAATATAAAAGAACAACCAGTCAAGAAAAAATCTACTAGTTTTTTTTTTCCTTTTTTTTTTCTGAGAGTGTGCATGCACACACAAAAGCTCCAAAGGGCTGCTGCCCTGGAAATTACAAGTGCTAAATTAATAGCTGCTCAAAGACCTCCTGTCATCAGGCTGTATAACACTGCAATGGGATGTCACTGGGATCAAGGATTCAGTATGATGTAAAGAGTGACTGGGCATTATTAGAGAGAGCAAGCAGATCCAGGGTAGTTACTAACAGCCGTAAGAATTTTTGGCAGCCAATAGTGAGTGGTTTGAGCCTTACCATATATAAGCTGAGGCAGATTATCCCACAGATTTCCTTCTGCAGTTCTCCTGCTGAAGAGCTGAAACACGAGATTAGCTGGGAGTTGCTTGACTGTCATGCTCTGTGGAAGTTTTCCTCCATTCTGCTCTTTGCCACAGCTCCAGCTTAGTGAGCTAAGAGGCTCAGTCCACGGGGTCACTCACGGTGCAGTGCAGGCATGTCCCAGCTGGGTTTGAAGCTGCAACCTGCACAGTCACACCACTGAAGAATAGCTCTGGCTAAGTCACTGAGATCTGCATGATCACATCTATGTTTTGGACTTACCTAACTCAAACATAATTTTAGATCCAAGACTAGAAATGGCCAGAAGGCTATGCTGCAGGAGCTGGAAACCTGAGCTGAGGGAAGATTAGGTGACAGATGGACTGGAGGAAGTGAGTGGGCCTGGCATTATGATAAAGGAAATTGCCTAGAAAGAGGGAGTACCAGCTCCTCACTCTCTCCAACTGCACAGTGGGATAAAAGCTGATAGCAGTGTAGCAAAATGAGATAACTTTGAGGATTGAACAGCCCTTCCTTTTGTATTGTTCTGAACAAATGGAACTGCAAACCAAAGAGTGTTTGGTAGTGCAGAAATGGAAGGAAGGGTTGTTTCTGTGCTGGAAGAAACTACTTTTACATTGCAAAGACCTGAGGCAGGGTCTTCACTTATCTCATTCTGCCCTTGGTCTGACAGCATACAACAGCCTTAATTAATTTGCCAAAAAATGTATCCGAGCAGAAGTGTCATGTTGTCAGTAATGCTCTGGAGCAAGCTGCTTCCGTTGCTCTCAGCAAGGCAAGGGATGACAAGTTTGCTTTCCTTCCTGGTGGCATCTGCTAGCTGCTGAGTTTTCCTGCAAACTTGGCTACTTTGCTTGGGTGCCTTTGAGAGAGCTACTGGGGACAGAGCTCTGGGATAACAGACCTTATCGATCTAATTAAAATTATTTAAAGAGAAGAGAGAAAGAAAGAAAAAGAAGCTACTTGGTATTATCGTACAGAGATCTCTCTTTATTTTCCTTTGCTTATTGAGTATTTTAGATTTTGTCACTTAGTGCCTAATGTGTTTCTGAAGGATGAACAGCTGAAGTCCCATGAAGCTAAGCTGAAGCAGATCTCCACTGAGCTTGCTGAACATCGCTCCTATCCTCCTGACAAGAAGCTCAAAGGCAAGGAAGTAGATGATTATAAACTGAAGGATCACTATCTGGAGTTTGAGGTAGGTATGGGGAACAGTATTACTTTTACTTTTTGTGTGTGGATGTGGCAGCTGGTCTTTTACTTGGAGTGCAGTCCTAAGGTTCTGTATTTTTCACCTTACTTCCCCAAGGAATATATTTCTTGTTAGGCCGATATGTCACAGCAAACCCACAAGCTGAAATGTAGCTTCTCTTTCTAATAAAGACTTCTTGTGACCTTAGGCATGAATTTAGCTCCTCATCTGTAAAATGGAGGATAAAAGTGTGACCCTCTGTGCTTGCCTGATGTATCTATTTGAAGAGAAGATGAGGTCTTCAGGCAGGAACTGTCTTGTCTTGTAAGACTGTGTTGCCTAGTGTGTTGGCACCCCAGTCTTTATGGAATGATTGCATTCTGCAGTAATGCAGATCATTATAATTGTCTTCCATTGTTATGTTCTGAAGGAACTGCTCTTCTAAAATGATTGTCATAGGGATGCCTCATCAGAGCCACTTGTGTTGTGTACCAGTGAGCTAGATGTCAGGACAAGCAGGAAGAGGGTAGAATTAAAGATCACAGGAGTGAGGGATGCAACTTAGGCAGCTACATTAGGAGATTGTTCTGAGTATATGACAGCAGCTTTTATCCATCACAATGTCTGCCACAATGCAGGGCTATGTGGAAGGGGGTCAGCAGCCCAGCAGATGTCTAGTATTCTTTGTGGCTGCTCCTTTGAGCTTTTTCTCCTAGAACTGCGAGTCAATGTTGCCTTGGGTCTGAAAGGATCTTACTTTAGATAGGCACTCCCTGGCAAGGAAAATCCATAGTCAAAAGAAGAGATAAGGCAAAAGTCAAAGAGACCAGCAGAGGAGATGATGGAGGCAACGCAGCCTGTAGTTGCGGGTTATTTTTCCCCTTTTTCAGTCAATGGGAATTTCACCAGACTGTCATGACTTTTCAAATATGATGGACAGTGGTTTTGCAACTTTGTCTGCCAGTTCCCTCAGGATCCATGGATGGATCTCATCAGTTTCCATGGACTTGTGCACCTTCAGATTCTTTAGTTGGTCTCAAACCTGCTCTTCTCCTACAATGGGTGGATCTTCTCCCAGTCACTGCTTTTGCCTTCTGACCTGGGTGGTGTGGCTAGAGTCCTTGCCACTGTAGACTAAGGCAGAAAAGTAATTGAGTACCTCAGCCTTTTCTATATCCTGCATGAGCAGGTCTGCTGTTTTCCTTCTCAAGTGGGCCCATATCCTCCCAGGTCTTCCTTCTATCCCTGACTACCTATAGGAGCTTTTCTCGTTACCCTTGATGTCACTGGCCAGATTTAAGTCTACCTGGGCTTTAGCTTTCCTAACCTGATCCTGGCTTCTTGGACAAGTTCTTCATATTCCTGGCAGGGTACCTGTTCTTGCTTCCACACTCTTCAGCCTTTGTTGTTGTTGTTGTTGGTTGTTTTTGGTTTTGTTTTGGTTTGATTTTTTTTTTTTGGTAAATGTTTCCAGGACCTCCTTGTTTATCCAAGCAGGCCTCCAGGTGTTTTTGTGTGACTTCCTCTTTGCTGGGATGCACCACTCCTGAGCTTGGAGGAGGTGATCCTTGAACAATAAATGGATTTCTTGGGCTCTTTTTCCCTTCAGGGCTTTATCCCATGGTACCCTACCAAGCAGGTCCATGAAGAGGCCAAAGTCTGCTCTTCTGAAGTCCACAGTAGCGAGCTTGCTGTGTGCCCTCCTTGCTGCCCTAGTGATCTTGAATTCCACTATCTCATAATCACTACAGCCAAGGCTGCCCTTGAGCTTCACATTCCCCACCAGCCCCTCCTTGTTGGTGAGAATAAGGTCCAGCATAGCATCTTTTCTTGTTTTTTTCTGCTACTTCATGACTTGGATGAGGGAATTGAGTGTACTA